TGAACCTATATATGAATGAGAAATTAAAAGAAAAATATTTAACAAGTGAATTCTGCCAACACGCACACGGACAATGCGGCGTTTATTTGCTTGTAGCGTATTGTTTGGAGCGGAGTGGAGAGTAAGTAAGCGAGTGGAGCTCCTATGACGCAAGAAAACGATTCCTTCAAATCTATCTCCTCTGTAAACCGTAGGCCAATTTACATAATTGTTTCGGCAATATTTGTAGTAATTTTTATTGTTTCTAAACAATAAAAATCTGAATTTGTCTAAAATATATTAAAAAATAACCAAAAGCTAAATTGTCTATGGGAAAATACATGTAAACCAAAAGCGCACGCTTTTGTAATAATTATTAAGGAAATAATTAATTTTAAAACAATTGTAATGTAATCGAATATTTTGTTGAAATAAAGATAGTTATGACTTTAGACTTTTACTCCGCTCCGTTTATGATGCTAGCAAAAGGCAGCAGCAAAAAAGCTTTGCATCTGCATCGGCCCCAGTTGATGATGCAACAAGGATGCTGGAGACTAGATACGATCCCGGGAGGGCGCTCACTGCAGTACCCGCAGAGCAGTATTAAGTTATTATACTTAATTGTTATTTAAATTATATACAACCCTAGGATTGAGGTGACCGTTATCAAGTTAATGATTTCTTATATTTACGCGAACATTGCACATGATTAAAACTACTTTTACGGATTTTATCGCGTTTATTTTACTATTATTTTTAATTCCCGACGTTTCGGGCGCTTTCCAGCACCCATGGTCACGGGGGACTGAGATGACTGACGTCCCGATGTCATTGTTAAACCCGGAGTACCTTCAGCTTTTTTAATTATTGTTTATGGTCCGATCTATGCAAAATGAACTGACTATGTCCTGAGGTCTTGCAGTGGTATGCTTGGGTTTAGTTTTAATTTTATTGATTATAGGATCCCAAGCAGGTGGTAGTACCCAGCCTCCTTCTCTATTGAAATTAGGATGTTTTTTAATTTCAATAGCCTCACGTATCATCCTTGGTAGGAATCGGTGTTCTTTCGCGAGGATTTGTGGTCTATCAAATCTGATGTAATGGTTGGGGCCGTCTAGGATATGATCACAAACTGCAGACATCAACGTTCCGGGAAGTCTGCAGTTTGTGATCATATCCTAGGTTAGTAGGCTAAGGTACTCCGGGTTTAACAATGACATCGGGACGTCAGTCATCTCAGTCCCCCGTGACCATGGGTGCTGGAAAGCGCCCGAAACGTCGGGAATTAAAAATAAAAAGTAAAAATAAACGCGATAAAATCCGTAAAAGTAGTTTTAATCATGCGTTATCGAGTTATTTATATATGATTTTAAACTGTTTTTATTTCAAAAAATGCCGATCTGTGTTTCTTGTTGGTTCTTCTGAGGACAGAGGTTTTTTTCCGAACCCGTGGTAAATTAAACATTTATAGCACTTTGCAGCACCCACGGTCACGGGGCAACTGAAGTGCTTGACGTCCTAATGTCGTAATTAACAAGACTACCTTCAACTCTTAATGATTATTCTTTGGTAAGATCTACGCAGAAAGAGCTTACAGTATCTTGAAATCTTGCAGGGAGCCTGCAATTTACTGCGCTAATGGTTCCCCGTAACCATGTGTGCTATGAAGTATTGTAAACATCGGGAATTTAAAAAAGTTAAAATTAAACGCTATAAAATCTCTCAAAGTAGTTATTTTTTATTTATTATTTATTTCATTTCAGATATCCAGGACTCATTTATTACATTACATTTTTTTTCAAATTATAATTATTAAAAAATAAAAAATAAATTAAATAATCTAACAAAATATGATGGGACAAATATATTAAAACTATTAACTATTACTAAATACTGTAATGCATATAAACAGCAGTTAATTAGCTGCTGGGCACATGCGGTCTACAACAATGTTGCAGATAGGGACAGTTCACTCTGTCACCTATCATTTTAAGAATGCCATTGGGGCTGGCCCTTACCCTACGCACCAGCGATGCATCTCTTTTACGCAAAGTTGTGTAAAAACAATCTACATGTGCATTTATTCCATGCGAGTATTTGCGTAAATATAAAGGTGGGTCTACGCTAGAGGAGCTCGTCGTATAGTGTGGACCGACTTACACGCCTCTTTTTCTATGCCCAGAAGCAAATTCGGGGTAATAAGGGAGGTGTTGAATGTTCAAAGCATACCAAGCAACCGGCTGCGTGGTGTGCTTTGAACCCACTAAACACCACCTGTGAGACTGGCTTTGACCTGGTTAAAGATTTTTTTAGTCGTGTCGAACAGGACCCTCCTTGGGTGAAAGGCGGGCGCAGAAGACTCGAACGAGCGCGCTTCGAACGTTTGGTTCGTGCTAGACCGTGCTCCACCCATTGTCGGTTTTATGTCAAACGCAAAGGAATTTGCATTGTATGCATCGATTTGCATGTTGTAGGCTCGTTGTACGTCACACACGACACCGCGAATAGTGCGGCTCAGCTTATGCTCAGCTCTTACTCGGCTCCTCTAGCGTAGACCCACCTTAAGAAAACATTAAGTACATATTGTTCGTGATCTATATTGAATATTTTTTTAATAGTATAGGGTGACAAACGAGCACACACTCCACCTGATGGTAAGTGGTTACTACGGCCTACAGACATCTACATCTATCCTCGATTACAAATCAAAATGCAGATGCGTTGTCACCCGTGAGGACTAAGATGGAATGCCTCGTTTCCAGTAAATAGGATCTCCGGTTCCCTACATTCACCATACGAAATACAGCAGCATTAGGCTACTATTTTACGCGGTGTTCTGTGAGAGCGTGGTCCCCGGTCGATCCGACCCATTCGTGCTACAACTATACTACTAATATAACTGCAGCGTAACTTTACCACGTATAAAGAATTAAAAGGTTTGTTTCTGTTTCTGCTATTAATTACTCGTATGAACTATTTTTAGACTACTGTTGGACACAAAGGATGTTGGACAAACCGTGTATTGACGGTGTAAGTAGTGGATACTACGCATTACGCCATGTAGGAGTCGTGGGAGACGACAGAGGGAGAAAACCAGGAAACAGGCAGCAGCGTCTCCCCAATAACAACAAAAGATAGGTACTGCGATTGCTAACCCGATTGCCAAGAGTGGCAACTGTGGCAAATATCCCCTTGGAGACGTCTATGGTGGAGGCTACGTTCAGCAGTGGACTTATGATAACAGCGTTTGAGAAGAATCAGTTCTCGTGGTTGCTCGAAAGCGTTAGGACGTTTTTTCTTGTTGGTAAAGTGTGTATGGCATTTGTTAACGGTTAAAAAAGGACAGAATAAGTGTAATACGGATCATAAGGAAGAGACAATAGTATAACAGGAGCTACGACATAAGTGCAAGCGCAGCTAGTCCCCACCTACGCGCGTGCGTGGGGTTGACTCCGCCCACCAGATTAATCATTATTTTTGCTTAGAGCCAGCGAAAACATCTATTTAGGCCTAAATGGAGCGAACATTAATGCCGACGGAAGAGGAAAAGATCATAATGTACGGTTCTGATACTAATGTAAGTAAAATGAAAGATAAACATGTAATTTTATTTGAATGGGTTAACCCTAGAAAGAAACGTGTATATGAATCGGAGGGCGAATTATCCACCGGACAGATATCCGCGGTACAAAAACCGGCCTGTTGCACGGAGAACATGCTAAGCTCACTAAAAGAAACGATGGATTCATTACGTGAGGAAATGAAGATCATGATGCATACTCTTAAAGAAATGAAAGACCAACAGGAAACACGTTTTGGGAATTTTGAAAAAGATATGTCAGATATAAAAATTACAATATGCCAGTTGCAGAAAACTAATGAAGTCGTTGACGACTCTTTGGATTATCTCGGCAAAAAAATGTTCAAAACTGGAGAACGCCATCGATGAGGCGAACAACGTCATCAAAATACAGGAAAATAAAATAAAAGATCTATCCCAAAAAAATGTTTACCTGGAAAAATATAATAAGGCTTTAGAGGAACGTGTCTGCATGTTGAAACAGAAGGGGCTGGACTGCAACATAGAACTGTTAAATGTCCAGACACCAGAAGGAATGAGTACCATACAGATAGCCAGAGCGGTTGCAGATGAATTGAATTAATGTTCCAGAAAAAATTACCAAGGCTTGGAGAGTGGGAAAGATAAAGGATGGGAAGGACTCGAGGCCAATAATTGTCACACTTCAAACACGTGAAGACCGAATCCAGTGGATAGGGTGCCGAAAAAATGCCATCACTAATAGCGCAATATTTAAAAACAATAACAATACGAGAATCTATCCGTATTAATGAAAATATAACGCAGCATCTTCGACGTCTATTCTGGGAAGTTAAGACTGAATTAAAAGACTTGTATAAATATATTTGGATACAGAATGCCAGAATATTAATTAGAAAGAATGATACAGTAAAAAAAATCCATCAAATACGCACTCAGAGTGACATTAAGGCCTTTTTTAGATAATAAGAAACAAGAGTAGTAATAATAGTAGATACGATATATATATATATATATATATATATATATATATATATATATATATATATATATATATATATAATAAATAATATACATATTGATGTCTTCTAACTTTGATCCGCATCCACAGTACCAAGATATAGAATATACGAAATACACACAAATTAATGACCGGCAAAAACATATAAATAAAGATAAAAATGCACTACATATAATACATATAAACATATGTTCACTGAGGAAACGTTTTAACCAATTAATAGCACTCATAAAAAATTGCATAGACAGCATAGACGTTATTTGTCTAACAGAAGTTAATGTAAAAAACGACGAGTTAAATTTATACAACAAAGAAGGATATAACTTATACACAAGGACTAGAGAAAACAAAAGAGGAGGTGGTATAGTGATTTATATCAAAGAAAATCTTTCTTTTCAAATACGTAGTACAAGTAGTAGCCATTGTGAAATGATACACGGCATGCTGAAAGTACGAAACTACGATCTTGATATTATAGTGATATACAGACCGCCTCACACAAACAAACAACTGTTTGTAAAAGAACTGGAACGAGTAATTCAACGAGTGCCGATTAATCGGGATATAATCATGTTCGGTGATTACAATATTGATATTTTGGAAGATAAATTGGACCATATCGCTTGTAGTTATCTTAATATGTTATCATCACGAGGATTACAGTGTGGAATTCAAGACATAACCCGCGAGGCAGTGAGTGCGGAGCGACGGACAGCCACAAGCATCGATCATGTGTTCGTTAGAACTGAGAGCGCGTCAGAGGTGCAAGCGTATTTACTTACGAGTCCATTAGCTGATCATTACCTAACGGGACTCACCGCTGTTATAGGTAAGCGTATGCCGCAAAATGTATGCAAAACAAGTTTGAATAACAAAGCGATTGAGAAGAAGTTAGGTGAACAATATTGGAATGAGCTTTTAAATTATGATGACCCTATCAGTTTATATAGTAGAATCAAAACAATTTTTTGTAATATATATATGACTCAGCGCAAATAAAAATACAGTTGAAAAAAAGGGAAAATCAACCCTGGGTTAGTAAGTCGTTATTAAATATGATTGAAATTAAAGACAGTTTGTTCAGAAAGTGGAAATCAAACCCTAGTAACAATAATTCTAGATTAGAGTATACTAGATACAGAAATAAAGTACAAAAGTTAATAAATAAAGCCAAAAACGATTATAAAAAAGAAAGAAATAATTAATTGTAATGGGGATATGCGCAAAATTTGGGGAAAAATAAACCAGTGGCTCGGGAAAAATAAAACATCAGTTGATACCATTATTGAAAGATACATAAAAAATGAAAAATCTATGAAAACAATCTGTAATAAGTTTTGCGAAACGTTTACTGACGAAATTGATAATATTAAACACAAGTGTAACCAAACCTTTTTAAAACGAAGAGAATACATAGACGAGTGTAACGTGAGCTTCCGATATAAAATGGTATCAGCTGGTGATGTGATAAAAGTTATAGACAAACTAAGCTGCAACAAGTCATCGGGGTCAGATCGCATTAGAGTTCAGGATTTAAAATTTATTAAAAAAGTCATTAGTCCTATTATAGCGAATTTTATTAATATGTGTATTAAAAAAAAGTGTTTACCCAGAAGAACTAAAAAAAGCGATAATCAGACCTGTCTGTAAGCAGGGATCGCATCAAGAATACACAAAATATAGACCCATCGCCATACTTAATTAAATCAATGAAAATTACCGAAAAAATTGTTGTCAAACAAATTTCAGAATTCTTAGAAAATAATGATGTTATTACAGATTTACAATATGGATTTAGGCCAAAAAAGAAGCACAGACATGGCTTTAGCTAAATTTACAGACGACGTGAATAACGCTCTTAATGACCAAAACCTACTAGGTGTTATTTTTATCGATTTTAAAAAAGCTTTTGACACACTGGACCACGATGGCTTGCTGCAGTCTATGGAAGAGTGCGGTATTCGAGGACCCACAAACTTATGGTTCCGCAACTATTTAAAGGACAGAACGTTAGAAGTCCGCATTAGCGAAACTAGTAGTGACCTTGGTAAAATCAAATATGGAGTCCCAACCGGCTCAGTATTCGGTCCAGTAGGGTACATCATTCATGTAAATGGAATGAGCAAAGTAGTACGATCATGTGAAATGTATATGTATGCCGATGACACTTGTCTAATGTACTATGATAAAGATCCAAAAACGATACAAATAGTTATGCAAAAAGATTTAGACAATATTGTTAAATGGGCGCATGATAATGGTATTATAATTAATATAAGCAAAGCTAAATTTATGTTAATATCTTCGCCATACAATCGACAAAAGCATGCCGACATTGTAATTAAAGGGCATACCTACGATTGTTTCCGCAGAAATAACAATGTAAATAACTGTAAATGTCTGAAGTTAGAACAAGTCTCATGCTACAAATACCTAGGACTAACTATAGATACCAGTTTTGTATGGAGTATCCATGTTCAGCAAATCTGTAACAAATTACGTAGTGTATTGGGTAAATTGTACCACCTGAAATTTAGGCTAAGCAGAAGTATGTTACATATGCTGTACTATGCGCTTGCGGATACAACTATAGATTACGGGTTGGGTAGCTATGGACTTACGTTCCCAGTGTATTTAAATAAAATCAAAGAACTACAAACAAGGTTGTTAAAGATACTAGTAGATAATAAAGTGAAAAGTGAGTGTAATAAAGAATATAATAAACTTTTCAAAATTTGTAAAATTGTACCTGTAGACAAAAAAGTGAAAATAAAGTTGATAATGGAACAGTATAATAAAAATGAGTTTAAAGTAGAAAGAGAATATGGCTACCCAACTCGTCAATCCACTAGAAAAGGAAAATATGTAGTACCTAAAATTAAAAATTACTTCGGTATGCGCAAGAGACGATGGGTTATTCCGCAATTACATAACGAGCTGCCGCCGGACTTGCTTAGTAAAGTTATCTCAAAAAATCATTTAAAAAATATCCTAAGAAAACATTATCTATCATTGTGTCCATATAGGTACGCCACAGGCCACGAGTAACGTACTGTTAAAATTAGCAGTCTATATGCGAAGTGTGCTGTTTGAATATGTGTTGAATTAGTGTATATGTGTATATACAGTATGTATATAAAAAAATAATGAACCAATTTTGATATTTGGCTGATGTGGACCTCATAACAAACTTTGTACTAAATATGTATAGATAAAATAATAAAATAGATTTTGGGAGATATTAGTATATGTATAAGAAATTATACTTCAGATTATATGTATAAACATAAGCATGTAAGACGAGAACTACTGCCGACAAACTGTAATGCAGTTTGGCAGATAAAAATGTTAAAAACGTTTATTGTATAATTGGAAGAAAATAAATAAAAAAAAAAGATAAATTATGTTTTTATGCACAACATAAAAACTTCAACATCAAAATTCAAGCGGTCAAATTTGACCGCACTCACCCACAGCAATTTAACCCATAAATACATATATTTAGAGACTACTTTTCTATGAAGAAGTTTGGCATTATAGAATCAATATGGAATTTTCTATCCTCCAGTGAAATAAAAAAAATACGTGTGGCACTCGGTGACTGCCGCGGTAAAGCCATTGCATAGCATTTTTTATCAACTTATGCAATTATAATTATTTATTTATTTTATTTATGTAGTTAAGTCTTTGATATTAAATCAAGTTACACTTTTTGAGCGTGGTGACCGATAAGAAAACAATTTTTTTTCTCTTATTGAATAAATGAGAAGTTAATATTGTTTAAAATATTTTTAATATCTTACAATACATGTAGGTTATTCAGGAATTTTTATCATTGAGTTAGCAGCTAGTGTACACGCATACCTCTAGTCGCACACACAAACACCGTGCCGAACTCTGCCGAGTGCCGAAGTCTGCCGAACTGAAACGACGTTAGACGATGCACGGCTTTCAACGCCACACCTCCGTCCGTGCCCGTCGGAGTTGGGAGCGTGAGGTTTTTTTCGTTACGGAATTTCTGGATTCGGTCCCCGCGCTCAAGGCCCGCGATAGAAGCTATGCAATAGCTTAAAAAACAGTTAGTTTATGGATATTAATTAATATTCTACGTTCATTAGGTACTCCATTTTCATTTGGATGTTGTTGTGTTGATTTTTTGCATTTTTCTAGTATTCTATTAGTGTTTTAGCACAGAGTTTTATTATAAATTTGTAATGAAAGTTTTTGTGTGAATATAATTTATCTGAAAATAATTTATTATGCAAAATACAGATACAGAATTTATTGAAATAATTTTGATTTTCACGCTGCCCACATCCGCTTGGTATGTTTTTTTTGTTATTAAAATATAACAATAAAATCTTTTTGTAATGAAGTAAAACCTGGCTTTTGATAAGACCACAAGATAGAGAATTTTGTATAGATTTTATAAAGCCAGACGAAAAGTAGTCTCTAAATATAAGTTGTAATGGTTTTAAGTGCTGTGGATGGGTGCAGTCGCATGCGACTGCTCGGGATTTGCCAGACGCATGCGACTGCATGGGAATTTTATGGGGATTGAAGGGTTAATTACATCAGGACAACCAGACGCTCGGGCAATTCTCCCTTTGTCGTCGGCTTACCACGCATTCGAACCAAACGGTATGCTTCGTCGTTCATAATGCGTACAGCAGAGGAGTGGAATAATCTGCCAGCATCTTCGTCTTTCCGTTTGATAATATTGTGTGTGTCTTCAAAGCAAGAGTAAATACAATTCTTTTAAGCTTAAACAGTGCACTTAACCATCTTCTGCTGCATCACCGCTAACAATAATAGATAAATAATCAAAATTTTAATGAAAAATAAAATCGAGTTGAGACCAACTGGTAAATCAACTTCAAATACGAACAAATAAAGTCAACGAAACCGTAGACTATCCACATCTATTAAGTTCAATAAAAAATGTTTTCCATACAAGCTAGTGCGTGTCAGCCGATACGTCCCCTTTTCAGTACGAACAATTTGGTCACACCACCATAAACAGGTTACAGAGGCAATATTACAAGTTCTGCAAGACATGTGATGTCGATATCTTTGCTGATAGTCCTCAAACATTCAAGCGAAAAATTTTCCATGCGATCTTTTTTTGCATCCTACCCTTGGGGGCGGGTTTGCTTCTCGCCGGATGATCTCAGCGTTGTTGCTGATTCTGTCGCTGATGTGGTGCTACAGGGAATGGAACTTTTTATTCCATCATCTGTGGTACCTATCGGAACAAAACCCAGCCTTGGTTTGGTCGCTCCTGTAAAATTGTACTACGCCATAAGCAGGAGTGCTACCAGGCCAGGGCTCGCGCATCGATGTCTCGGGTTGCAAATACCCCTAAAAAGGAGTACAATTTTGCCTCTAGGTCCTTCAAAAGTGTCATTGTCAAGGCAAAGTCAGAGCACATCGGCAGAATTGTTAGAAACTAGTTCGTCTCTCTTCGGAAACACGTAAATTCTGGTCTCTCGCCAAGGCTGTCCAAGGGAACTTCTGTCAGCCATTTTTCCCATCTCTGCACAGGGAGGACGACTCACTGGCCCATGCCACAAAGGACAAAACCGATCTGCTGGGCTCTCTCTTTGTGTTCAATTCGACTCTTGATGACGGGGGGAACACACCGCCAACTATCCCGCGGTGTGAGTGCTCCATGCAGGATGTCCTGTTTACCCAATGCTCAGTGCGCAGAGTATTCCCCTCCCTGAACGTCAACAAGTCGTGTGGGCCGGATGGCGTGCCTCCTATTGTACTGAAGACGTGTGCTCCGGAGTTGGCACCGGTTTTAACGCGTCTTTTCCGGTAGTCCTACTGGTTCCGCGTAGTCCCGAAATCGTGTAAAACAGCCCTCGTGTACCCGACATCTAAAAAAGGTAACCGCTCTGATCCGTCCAACTATAGGCCTATCACCATCACCTCCTTGTTCTCTAAAATAATGAAATTCATTATTAACAGCCAGCTCATGAGGTACCTTGAAGGTT